TCTCGGATAAGAGGTGACAGCCATCAGAGAAAGGACATCAGTCTTTGCAGTTCTCTTGGAACAGAAGATTCAGACCGAATGTTTCAGTTGTCCTCACCTCTTTGAGGACTGTGGGAAGTTATTCCCAAAGGTTTGTTTTATCTCCAAATTCCCCTCCCCACGCTTATCCAGTAAGAGACTATATTCTGGTCATTTCTTTTACCTAAATGTTTTCTGTATCCTGATTTTGCTTCATCAAACTTAAATAGATAAGGGATTAGCTAGATATATATAGACTTTAAATTAGGATAGAGAGTCCTAATGACTTTTTTGTCTGCTCCAATACAGTCCATGAAAGAGTAGAGAAAGGGGCCATGTGGACCTAAGGGACATTTCATTGCCCTATGGCCAAAAGTAAGATAGTTTCAACACAGTGTGGCTAATTAAATCTCTGGCCTCCACTGTGAGAAGAGAAAAGGGCAAGGTGGAAATAGGGGAGGCCTAGGTGAGAGATTCAGTTGCATCTTCTCTAGAGGAGAGGAATGAACAGAAAGGAGAAAGAACCAGCCACTAGTGTAACAAACGTATTTGTAGGCTTAACGGCAGCCAGAGACCATGTCTTACTTGACTTTGTATCCCCATAATGTCCTATACTTGGGAGGTGTTCAACATATGTTAAATGAATGAATAATAAATTATTTTTATTTTTTTTCTTCATGTCAGCCTATTCTGTAATACTTGCTAAATAAAGGAAAACTTTTGTGGCAGTTTATTATTATTATTATTATTATTATTATTTGTTGTTGTTGTTGTTGCTATTCTTGCAAGGCAATCAGGGTTAAATGACTTGCCCAGGGTAACACAGCTAGTTAAGCCTCTGAGGACTCAGGTCCTCCTGACTCTGGGCCAGTGCTCTATCCTCTGCATCATCTACCTGCCCCTCCTGGCGGTTTAAAGAATGAGTCTTGGTGAGGCAATGTTTCAGAATGAAATAATTTAATCTTTTAAAAGAAATAGTATAATGAAACCATACTTTGTAGGGGTGGGGCATAATAGGACAGCCCTGAAGCTGGAATTGGGAAAACTGAGTTTGAATCCCAGCTTCCATTTTTAGTAGTTGTGTGACCTTTGACAAGTCACATAAGCTCTCACCATTTTATAATGCAGGCAATGATTGTACAATTTGCCTCACAGGATTCTTATGGGCAAATAATTTTGGACACCCAAGTGCCATATTAAGTTATCATTATTATTGTTTATTCTGCCTTAATGTGTCTATGTATATAGATACAGGGATAGAAATCATATTGAATATATATGGAAAATAAAAATAGTGCACTGGACAGTATGGGCTAACATTATTGAAACATAAAATATTAATGACTATAAATACACATATCTTTTCTATACTAGAACCTTTTTAAAAATAGCCTTAAAAGATAAAAGCCTTTTATTTATTAAATAAAAAAGCCAAATAGCTCACACTTCTTTCCAAATGAACTTGAAGTATTTTGTATTAAAGTGATTGGTACTAAAACCAAGGAGAAGCCTGCTGTAAACATAGTTACAAAATTAAGTGATATTACAGAACAAAAATCTAATGAGTCAATATAAAAATGAATTTTTTTGAGGGTGGTACGGTTTGAAGGATTGGTTGCTAGATAATTTCCTAATCCATTTCACGTGATTTCTTTTAGAATAGAGAAAATCTCAAAAGTGAAAATTTCTCTGAAATTTGAAAATGTGCCAATTATTGAGGGTATTCTGAAAAAAATATGAGAGGAGAGTAGGCAGGCTTTTGCAAATGATTTCCTATACCACATCATATTTTTATAGCCAAATAAATATTGACTGAAAAGTATGGTGAATACAAGATTTTGTTGTGCTTCTCAATTGGTGATTACCAGAAAGCATTTAACTGTATAACTAAATGCTCTCTTCCAATAAGAAGTCTCTTGTGTATGTTAAGATTAGGCAAGATTCTTTGACATACACAACCACAAAGATAACTTTGACCCACTGATTATTAATATTAATAAGTAAGAAATAAAACAGGAGAAATGTTCTTGCCCAGAATTTTGACCACAGTTATAGAGGATGGCTTGCACAAGGTTCAAAAGGTGGTGGGATTCCCCATAGATGATAAGATCTTCCAGATGCTTTAGTTTATGTGTAGCATTGTGTTAATTGATTCAAACTCCAGATTATTATATGGACTCCCATAATTGGAAGCATGTAGGTGGCTCAGTGGGCAGCTAGATGACTCAGTGGATAGAGTGCTGGGCTGAGAGTGAGGAAGACCTAAGTTAAAATGTAACCTCAGATGCATATTAGCAGTATGACCCTGGTCAAGTCACTTAACTTCTGTTTGCCTTAATCCACTAGAGAAGGATATGGCAAATCACTCCAGTATCTTTGCTAAGAAAACCCCATGAAAAGTCTGGTCCATGAGGTCACAAAGAGTTAGACAGGACCAAACAACAATAACTGAGGGGGTAGATCACTAGACCTAGAGTCAGGAAGATGAGTTCAAATCCAACCTCAAACACTTACTAGCTGGATGACTACTGTCAAGTCATTTAATCTCCATCTACCTCAATTTCTTCAACTATAAAATGGAGGTAATAATATCATGTATCTTGCAGGGTTGTGAGGATCAAATGAGATATTTGTATGCCTGGCATAAGTAGGCATGAATGAATGCTGGTTTCCTTCCTCCTTTCCTCTCCTTAAGTGAGATCTATGATTATTCAAAAGACTCGTAGAAGAAGAAGAATGAATTGGATAACAAATGCTTTTCATCTCGACTGAAACATGCAGTTAGATGGTCAGTCCAGGGCAGTTTGTGCATCACTACCTATGTTTGGGATTGACATTGTGGATGGATAAGTTGGACACAGATTTGAACAGGAGGAAAAGCCACAATGCTTTTTAGTGATCATAAGTCACTCCTTAGAGTAAAGATTCATATTTTCAATTGAAATTTTCCTCAGTCATGGCTAGTTAGGCTTTAGAATCTTATAATATTACAATTTTCAAGAAATCAAAGTCAAGAGTGTCTTAAAGGGAAATTGAGAGACTTGTGGTCAGTGCAAATAATCTTCTGCACATTTTCAGTAATGACCTATGCTCGAGAAATGGCATAAGGCAGAGATTGGCCAACAATGGACTATTTCTGTGTGGCTCACAAACTAAGAATGGTTTTTGACATTTTAAAATACATTAAAATTTTCTTTAAAAACGTAAAAACCACTCAGCTCACAAACCATACAAAAAAAAAGTTTGCCGACCCCTGGAAGGGATGTCTGAATGGAAATGAAAATGGATCAGTCATGTGATCTAAGCAAGGAGCAGCCGATGGACAGGCCGAATGCTCCACTTGTACCCTCAACATGTAAAAAGACCTAGAGGAAGGCTTGTAGGTGCATTGGGTGAATCCACTGGGGAGGTTCTGTGCAAGAGCATAGATAAGAATAACACAATGCAAGAAGGCAAAGCTGGGCTGCCGTCTTCACTAGTGGAAGGAATGTCTGCTTTGATGAACCATCAAATATTAAAGATTGAACAAGTACATCCATAGAGCACCGACGTATTGGCCTGATGATATACAAATCCCTGAAGCAAACTAAGTTTCATTCAGCTATGCCCTTGAACTAGTGTTATCTGGTTCTTAAATGCAGCTTAATAAAATCTTGTGACTTGTCTAATGATAGTAGGTTAAAATAAAATGGCATTTGTTAATTAGAGTTTGAGATGCATTTTCACTAAATCTCTGGTGTCACCACCAGATAAATAAGGTCCTGTTTGGTTGAAGTTGCCCAATGTCTTTATCTTCTTTTATCTCCTTCCCTAGGATGTTGAAATTTAAATTTAGTAACTGAAATTAAATTAGGTAAAAGGACTTGAGTTTTTTGAAAGGAGATATCCTAGAAATAATTAAGTATGTTTATGATGTTCCTTTTGCTATCTTAAATGAAGACTTTCATGGAGGAGAAACAGAAGTTTCCTCCATCTCCTGCTACTTGGTTCCATGGTTTCTTTGCTCCCCACCTTCCAGAATTCTTATTCCAAGAAACTGAAGTCACTGCTCAGGGCCTTCTCTTAAAATTACAATGACCCATAATTTTAATCCTGCTAGCAATAAAAATTTCGACAGAAAAGATCATTTGTGAATTTCTTTCCACTCTGGTAAACAAGGAAGATAATGAAGAATCTACATAGTCCTTAGAGTTTACAAAGTGTTTTCTAAAATTATGTCAACCCTATGGCTTTATTAAGTGCCATCTCCTCACTCTCTCGAGAATACTTATGCAGTCATCTTGAAGCTGGGCTTCGAGTTAGGAAGACCTGAGTTCAGAATTGGCTTCAAACACTTACTAGCTGTGAGACTCTGGGCAAATCATTTAACATTGTCTACCTCACTTTCCTCAACTATATAAAAATAATAGCACTGTTCTCCCAGGGTTGTTGGGAAAATCAAATAAGATATTTGTTAAGTGCTTAGCACAGTGCCTAGCACGTAGTAGGCACTTAATAAATCCTTCTTCCTTTCTCAGAACAATCTTGTGAGATAGGTAATATAAGTACCCACATTTGACAGGTGAGGAAATTAATAACAGCTGGCATTTAGATAGCACTTTAACTTTGCAAAGCTCTTTACATGTGCTATCTCATTTAATCCTTATGAGGTCCTTGTGAGGTAGATATGTATAGGTGCATGAGATACATATGTAAGTGAGGTAGGTATAATCTGCATTTTATAGATTAAGAAATTTAGATGCAGAGAGGTTAAATGACTTGCCCAGGGTAACGCAGCTAGTAAGTGTCTGAGGCCAGATTTGGCCTCAGTTCTTCTTGAGTCCAAATCCAGCACTCTACCCCCATTCCACCAAGCATGAAATAACTTGTCCACATTCACACAGCTACCATACAACCCTCTTTAATATATATGATGTTTCATTATTTAACACATATATTATGATTGTAAGTTCAAGATCAAATTAATAACAAAAAAAACTTACATGAATGGACCTAGGGTGAATACCCTAACAATTACAAATATCAGGATCATTGCAGTTAAAGCTGCAGAAATAAGGGATGCCTGCAAAAGAAAACACAAAAGTGTCATCAGTTTATTGATACAGATACTTTCATTTTAATCTTGCTTTATTCTTCTAACCAAATTTGGCTTTTCTGATTACTTAATACACTGAGAATCACTTGTTAATTCTATTTATTGCTATAGATAAGGATAGGGAAACCCCAGCCTACAGGTCAGATTTGAGCTTTGACTTAATGCTTGTGGCTCCCCTCTAAAATTATCTCTAATTTATCTTGTAGATATCTTGTTTATCAGCCATTTTTGCATGTTACCTCCCCCATTAGACTGTGTACTCCTTGAGAGCAGGAATTGGGGTTTTATTTATTCACTTATTTATCTATATATCAATTTATTTGTTTATTTGCCTTTCTTTGTATTCCCCAACACTTAGTTCAATGCCTAACAGATACTAGAAAATAAATTAGAAATAAATGATTATTGACTCTACATAGTTTTTATCCAGTCTACTGGGTAGGTTCTAAGTAGTGATATCACCATATACAGCTACTTCTGCAAAACCACAACCACATTTGCAAGCTGTTAGTGGATTTTGATGGATAGCTGTAGGTTGGTAATTGGTATGACTCTTTGTCTGTATCTGTATTTATGTAGATGTTTCTATTTATATTTCTGTGTTTGTTTTTCTGTGTCTGTTCCTGTGTGCCTATTTTTCTGGCTCTTTGTGGACTCTTTCGGTCTCTATTGCCCTTTTCTTCCTCATTCCTCCTTTTTCTCTCTTTTTCATTTCTCTTTTAATTGCCATATCACAGAACTAATATTAAATTTAAATTGTACGTGCTAAATGCATATAAATTACATAAAATAGATGTGCCTATTTCATGTTTTCTGTTCTTAATTCTAAAAGCAGGCTTATAAAAAAATTGTATGTTTTCTCATAGATGTACAGAGAGAGAAAATCTTTTTAAGAAACTCATCTGATCTTTGATTAATTTTTTTTTCTTTTAGTTGGTAATTCCTAATATAAAAAACATCTCACTTCTGCCATAAACAGGGGCGTGCTGGAGTCAGCTCAACCATCTCTCAGGGGCTGATTGTTAAATATTCAATATAATTATTTACACCCCCCAATTGGCAAACACTACAAATCAGGGCTTGATTTACTGTTTCATTGACTGTTTAGACTTAAGAAAGTTATTATGGAGAAAATGTTAATGCATATTAAACTTAAAAGTGTAACAGGCATAACTTTTTTTTTTTGGGATAGTCAGTCATTAAACCTTTATCAGCACACCGCTGCCTATAAGGGCTAGGAATCCAATCTCTATTGGATCTGTGATTTTAACAGCTTAAGAAATTCCCTAGTGAGAAAACTCCCTGTACCAGTACAGGTCAGTACCTTCTCTGCTACTTCTGACTTTAGAACACCGGGCAGTTAAGTGACTTGTGCATGGTTACACAGATAGTATCTGCAAAAGTGGAACATGAATCCATGTCATCTTAGCTTGAAGACCAGCTCTCTACCCGATACTTCCTGGCTGCTTTCTTCTGTCAGGGTGGCAGAGTGACCTAATGGGCCAGATGCATGCACTTCTGCAAGGAATTCTTTTCATTTCCTGGCATTTAAGGTCTCTTGAATAATTTGCCTTATTGACAGTTTTCCTTTAGCTTTTCTATATCAAATCAAAAATAGAGTGTAGGCTCCTTTCTAGTAGGAATTGTCTCATTCATTGTATTTATCTGGCATAGTAGGCACAGAGGAACATAGTAGGCATTTAATAAAAGTCTGTTGATTTACTGACATTAAAGGGAAAAGCAAAAAGAATGTTAAAAATATCAAATACAATGGGAAGGTTCTCCTTTTAATTCTCCTGCTTTTTTCTACAATATAAAAGTATATAGATGAGAAAAAACCAGAATGAAATGAAGCAAATGACAAATACAGCCAGGCAGGCTATGTATATATTCCTACTATTAAGTGAAAAACTGTTGTAATGATCTGGATAATTCAAGCAAAATGATACTTTGGACAAAACCTGGGTATTTCAGGTGGAAAGTCTGGGGGAAAGAGGATGGAACCTCACCTGTTGTTCAGTTGTTTTAGTCATGGCCATCTCTTCCTAATTCCATTAGGAGTTTTCTTGGCAAAGGTACTGGAGTGGTTTACCGTTTCCTTCTCCAGCTTGTTTTATAGACAAGGAAACTGAGGTAAACAGTGTTAAATGACTTGCCCAATGCCATACTGCTAGTGTCTGAGGCTGGATTTGACCTCAGGTCTTCCTGACTCTGGGCCTAGTACTCTATCCACTGTGCCACCTAGCTGCCCTATCATTACCTTAGCTCTATGCTTTACATTGAATGCATATCCCTATAACTGTGGATGTATGATAGAGAAGCAAAGTTTAAAATTGATTGGATTATTAAAAAATTATGAGGAAATTGCTAATGAATGACAAGTTTTCATTTTTCATCATAATGTTTGCTGTTATGTTAGTAGAGTCATAGATTTAGAGATGGAAAGGACTTTAGAGTTCAACTAAACCAACACAATCATTTTATAAATGAGGAAACTGAGGCCCAGAGGTTAAGTGACTTGCCAAAGATTACCCAAGTAGTAAGTGGCAGAACTGGGATTTGAACCTAGCTTCTCTGACTCCAAATCCAGTGGGTTCTTTTTCTCCTTGTTACTTCACACTCAGCACAATAACACTTAATGCAAATATGTCCAGGACAACAAGAAGTATGCTCCAAGAGTCATACTTGAATAAAAGTATAGTAATAAATAAAGGCTACAGTTGTACCTTTATTGTGAAGTGCAGAGTTGATCATTCTTATGAGAACAAGGACCTGGCATTTATCAGTATAAAATACTTTGCAAACTTGAAGCACAATATGGTAGCTATTATTATTATTATTTGCAGTAATAATAACTTAAAAATTTATCAAACCTGACAAAAAATGTTAGCAATAAATGGATAGTACTTTGCAATCAATTATATTTTATTATGGTAGAAATGTACAGAAAAAGATTATAGAATCTAAGAGTTGTAAGAGACCTCAGAGGCTCGGTGGTCTAACCAAATATGAGCCACAATCTCCTCTATAATAGCATATACTTAATTTTTAAAAATTATTTTTATTTCATTAAATATTTCTCAATTACATATGAAATTTTTTTCAACAATCATTTTAAAAAATTTTGAATTCCAAATTCTTTCTCTGCCTCCTACCATCCCTGCTCCTTGAGAAGAAAAACAATTTGGTTTTGATTATGCATGTGAGGTCATATAGCACAGACTTTAACAAGTTGTCACCTAGCTTTTGCTTGACAATCCCAGTAGAAAGAACCCATTACTTCCTGAGGTAGCTCATTTCACTTCTACATAGCCTTAATTGTCAAGATTTCCTCTGCAATTTTTTTTTTACTTATTTTTCCTTGTTCTCTGAGATAAAGCTGATTAAATCTGAGCTTGTCCCCTTCCCCTTTTCCCTCCCCCATCTCACCTCCCCACCCCCTCCTGCCAATCTTATCTGATGGGGAATCTTTTCTAGTCTCACCTTTCTTCTCACCCTCTTCTGGATGTGCTCTAGCATGTATGTTATTCTTGAAATGTAGTACCAATAACTAAATGCATTATCTCAGTTGTGACTTGATGATAACTTTCCTCATAAAAGATGCTGAAATTTAATTGATACACTCTGCTGAATTTTTGCTACTAATGCCACAGATTTAAATCTTGATATTGTTTTAGCTACCTAAAAAGGTTGGAAAATGCATTTTAATAAATCCTACTTGCATGTATATTATATATGGATATATATTATATACATTATATTATATAGAGTCTGTTTTCATTTTTGCTCTTGAGTTACAAAGCTTGTGGCTTGCAATAGTACCTGCTTTTAACAAGAAAAAGAAAGGGCACATTTAGTTCACACTGTGATGTGATGTTTAATCACTGATACTTAAAGACCTACCTAATGACTCAACTACAGTTTACTGTAGGATAATCATAAATCATTTGGCTTTGCAGGAAAGCACTACAATTAAGAACTCTGCAATGAAGACTGTGATTTGGCACAATTGCTTCAGTTGACAAGGGACATTTCTGTTTCTATTTTAATTGTGGAGATTACCTTTCCCAGCTTGGCTATGTCACGATACAGAGATAAAGGAAGAGAAAAGGCAACTGTGGAGAGCCCAATAATGAAATGGCGGCCAATGAAAAAGTTACCAGGATCAACTAAAATACAAAGAAGATTATTACACATTTAGAGGCATACATAATGAGAGCACACACACATAATTAGACACAACTTTTCAATTTTTTTTAAACCAGAACTGTGATTTTCCTGGTGTCAGGAATTTCCTCTCCCAGAGTGAGTTGGCACTTTCTCTGCAGCTGAGAGTATTAGAGACTTGCCTGGGGCAACACTGGGTTGGCCCCCCCTAGCCACCATGTGTCAGACATAGGACTTGAACCCGGGTCTTCTTGACCCCCAGACAACCTCTGTGTCCACTACGCTATACTGCCTCTCATGCAGAGCAAAATTCAAGCCACTGAATACATTTTTCTTTTCCAGATCTGTGATTTCATAATTCCACCATGTCCCTAACAGATGGTTTTAGAAAGTTGGGGAGGGGGGAAATTGAGAGTTTAAGAGACAAGTCCAGGGTCACACATCTCATATATGTGTGTGTATATGTATGCATGTATATGTATGTATAAACATATACACATATGTACACATATGCATACACATACACATATATGTCACAGGCAGAACTTGAACCCTAGGTAACAGGATAATAGCACCATAGACCCACAGCTGGAACAGACCTCGACGCTTTCATTTCTATGACTGAGAAAACTAAGGCTGAGGGAGGCTGAGTAATTTGTTCCAGATCACAAAGTCAAGTAAGATTCTTTCTACTGTTCCCAAGTCTTTTTGACTCCACGACTACTCTTCTAGCCACTATAATGTACTGTCACTCATTTTTTTAAAAAGTTCATTATATTAAAATATAAGTCACATCACAAATGTTTTAGGAAGAAATAATTCTCAGGAAACCTTGTCAAACATATAAAACTACAAATGTACATAACAAAGTACCTTAAGGTTAAGTCTCTAGTTAAAATGTCCTAATATTTCAAACCAAAGTGGGAGGTTTTTTTTTAACTTTATCTCATTTTAAAACAAGAAATAGACCATGGAATGCACCACCTTTATATCTTTACATCCTGCCTGGGAAAAAATAAATGCATAGGGGTTTTTTTTTCCCATCATAAGAACAGATGGAAGTCCTGCCATAGCCATTGCAGAACTTCATGGCATAACAACCGTAAATATTGTTGTGTTCTGAAAACATAGGAAACACTTTGATATTACAATAGTAATAATGCTTTTTAAATCTAAAAGTAGTTTAATTTTTTCTTTTAGTTGTATGTCTGGCTTTGAGACAGAAACAATGAGAAAGAAATTGATTAAAAGCTTTCAGGAAATAAGACGACCTTTTTATATTATCATTCTTTATGAGATTAGGATTAATTTGCATTTCTGCTCTTCTAGGAACACCTAGACTGCTATTTCATTTGATCCCTGGAGAAGCTCCATGATCCTGTGTTTCTTTACATAGAGGACAGCTGACTAGGGAGAAAGGTGTTGGCGTCTTTTCTCATTCCTTCTTCCTTTCCTGTTTAAGTAATTGGGAATGGGTAGGAGATATCTATTAGCAGGTATGTATGCCAACGAGTGGGCCACCATTAAGTGATGGCTGCTGGAGAAGAAAAAGATGAAGAAGGGAGGGGAGTTTTGCAATCTAAGAAGTGAGGGGGCTTGGATGACTGGCTTTTATCTTGTATTGAGTGGGGTGCACTGGAAAAACTAGCCAGAGAGTCAAAACTACTGAGCTAGAGAATATGAAAGGGGGAAAGTGAGAGGTAAAGGGGAGGAGGGAAGAGACATAAAGAAACAGGGAGACAGAGAGTCAGAGACAGGGACAAAGATGGAGACAGAGTGAGGGAAGGTAGAAAGGCCACCAATTCCTACCCCAGATTTGACCAGTTGGATCAGTAGGTGAAACAAAGACAACAGGATTTGTCATTGTGAAGAAGGCCTCTTCCAGGGAAACCCTTATATTGAAGACTCTAGGTGACACTGGGGACTTAAAATTCAATAACTCCCCAGGGCTAACAGTTGTTTTTGTAGGCATCTGTTTTGTTTTCTTCTTCTAATAAGATTTTCACCTATAATATTGTGATCTCAGCTTGGGGAGAGGGGGAAGGGTGAAAGGGGATGGAAAGTCTATGAGTCAAGAAAGCCATAAAATCCTCCAAAGTATATTTAGGTATTTTGTGTTACACATTTTGGTGACACTAAAGTTATACTCATATATGATCTATACTTTTCATTTTAAGCCTCTTGAATGGTCTTTTGATTGAAAAAAAGGTTAGAACAAAGGTCTGAATCTAAGAAGGTAAAATTTAATAGCTATAACAGTAAAGTCTTACACTTGGATTCAAAGAATCAAGTGTACAAATAGAGAATGGGAGGGGCTAGACATGTTTATCTAAAAATGACCTTTTTTTTTGGTTCTATTTCGATGTCATTAGGAGGCAATAGTCTTATGGTAAAAAAACTGATTTGATAATCATGGGCTGCACTGACAGGCATAGTGAGCTTCATACCCAGATCTCTAACTACCTGCTTGCTACTTAGATGTCCCAGATGCATCTCAAAATCAACATGCACAAAATGAAACCCCTTATCTCCCTCCAACTTCCAAGTTACCTGACCTCCCCTAAACTTGCCCATTTCTGTGGAGGGTACCATCATCCTGATCACTCAGCTTTGTTCACAAATCAGTCATCTTTTATCCTTTACTCTTCCATCACCACCCCACCATCTCACACACACACACACACACACACACACACACACACACACACACAGAGTCTTATATATATCCCTTATCTTTACTTTCATGACCACCCCTAATTCAAGGTTTCATCAAATCTGATTAGTTTCCTAATTGGTCTCCTTGCTTCTAATACCTCCTTTCTTCAATCAATCCTTCATACAAGGGTCAAAATTAATTTTTCCAATGTATGAATGAGGCTGATGGGCCCTAGTTTACATTAATTCATAGCTGTTCAAAATTCTACCTCCTCAACATGGCATTTAAATAGAGTGGATAGAATGCTGGGCCTAGAATCAGGAAGACCTGAGTTCAAATGTGACTTCAGACACTAGCTATGTGACCCTGGGCAAGTTACTTAATCTCTGTTTGCATCAGTTTCCTCATCTGTAAAATGGGAATAATAATAGCTCCTACCTCCCAGGGTGGTTGTGAAGCTCAAATGGGATAATAATTGTAAAGCCCTTTGCACAGTGTCAGGCACATAGTAGGTACTGTATGAATGTTAGCTATTGTTAAAGTTCTACATAATCTTTGTGCAGCCTACCTTTTCATGGTTATTTCAAACTACTCTCTTCCATGTACCTTATGTTCCAGTCAAGTGGCTACTCTGTCTTTCCTCTTCTCAGCATTTCATGTTGTCTTTTCAGAGGCTGCCTTCCCATGCACCCCGTTTTTACCTCCACATCTTAGAAACCTTAGCTTCCTCACAGTGTTGACTCAGGTGCCCCTCCTACAAGAAGCCTGTCCTGATCCCTTAAGTTGTTAGTATTTTCTTCCTCCTCCAAATGGCTTGCATTTCCTTAAATTGTGCACATACAATGAAATCCCCAGTATGATATAAACTCTGAAAGAGGAGGGACTTTTTAAAAATCATGTCTATCATGAATGTATCATGTGTATCAGGCAGATATCTTCCCGAGTTCAAATCTAGCCTCAGACACTTACTAGCTGTGTGACCCTGGACAAGTCACTTTCCTCACCTGCAAAATGTGCTGAAGAAGGAAATGGTGAACCACTCCACTACCTTTGCCAAGAAAACGCCAGGTGGGGTTCTGAAGGGTTGGATATGACTGAAAAACGACTGGACAATAACAATTTCCCCTTTACCATTTCCACCTTACACTAACAAATGCTTAATAGTCTTGAATAGAATTGAAATGAATCACATAATGTCCAGAATGAAATACCTGAAGTCCTCTGTACTCTGCCCTGTCAGAACACACTAAAGTGTTGTATTCACTTCTGAGCATCACAGTTTAGAAGGCCATAGGTGGGCTAGAGTGCATCCTAAGGAAGGCAAGTGCCCTGGGGAACTAGTTGAAGGAAATAGGGGTATTTAGCCTGGAAAAGAAAAGACTTGAGAATGAGGGTAAGGGAGAGGGACATGTCATAACTAGAAGGATTAAACTTGTTCTGCTAACCTTGTTCTTAGAGGGCAGAATTAGGAAGAAGTAGAATTTGCAGGGTAGGGGGAGAGGAAAGAAGGGAATAAACATTTGTATAGTGACTACATGTGCCAGGCCCAGTGCTAAGTGCTTTACAAATATTATCCCATTGGATTCTCACAACAGTCCTGTGAGACAGGTGCTATTATTATCTTCATTACACAGTTTAGGAAACTGAGGAAAACAGAGGTTCGGTAACTTGCCCAGGGTCACACAGCTAGAAAGTGTCTGAGTTGGGATTTGATCTCAGGTCTTCTTAATTACAGTCTTTGTGCTCTATCCACTGTGCCACCTGGTTGCTTCTAAGACAAACTGATGATATTTAAGGGAAAAGTGAGCATGAATTATGAATTCATTCATTTAAGCTGAGTCTTCTATATCAAAAAATGAAGGTGATGGTACAGATAAGCCAAGTCTTAAGTCACCTCAGAAGGGCTTCAATTATCTGGATATTTTAGGGAAAACACTGACTTGAATTATCTGGATAATAGTTTTCACTCCCTACCTACATTCATTTGCATAATAGATAAATATGTGCAGAAGAAAATGAATTTTTGTGACGTTGTTACATTGAAGAATCTTTAGGGTCCTGGGGGAACATTCAAGTTGAATGCTATGATTAGTCACACTATGGTCTAATTAGATGTATCTCACTAGTTATTTCTACTTTGGATCTATTACCATAATGGATCATATGGGATAGTATTTCTAAAGCACTTAGCACAATGCCTGACACATAGTAGGGGCTTCATAAATCCTTCTTCTCCTTCTCCAATACCCTTCAGCCAAATATGTATATGAAAATACACTTTTAAAATAATTATTTTTAGTGAGTCTGGAAAATGAGTCATACATAATTCTTTATGGTCTTGAGATACAGCTATGAAAACAGTTTCAAGGAGGGCATACTTAATCTGGTGTGCATCAAGAATTATGGCTTTGATTTCCTGTAAAAGTGTGGACAATCTCCAAATACCCTTCTAAAAACATTGGCATTTGGGCAGTCCTGAAAAATAGATTTTGTATAATGACCATTACTGAAAATATTCTGGCCTCTATTTTTGGCTGTTTCCCAAGAAGCTCAAAGAAGTCACTTAGCATTAGAGGAGTCACACTTAATGATGGGGAAGATAATCCATCAAAGGCAAAGCACTCTTTGATCACATATCTTGTTTTAGTATTTATTTCACTAAAAAAAAATAAACAGTTCATTCTAGGCAGAAAGCAAATGTGGGGAGACTTACAACAATGGCTTCCATCTATATATCATGCCTTAAGGTTTGCAAAGTATCTAATTTGATCTTCACAAACACCAATTTAGGTAGATACTACAGGTGTTACGGGCAGGTAGGTGGTATAGTGGATAGAGCTCCTGCCCTAGGAATCAGGAGGATCTGAGATCAAAATTGGCCTCAGACATTTATTGCTGTGTGACCCTGGGCAAGTCACTTAACTTTGTCTGCCTCAGTTTCCTCATCTGTAAAATGAGCTGGAGAAGGAAATGTCAAACCACTCTAGTGGTTTTTCTCTTTGCCAAGAAAATCTCAAATGTGGTCATGAAGATTTGTACACAACTGAACATTTTAGAGATGAGAAAACTCAAGTTCAAAGAAATTCAGTTACTTGGTTGTGTTTACATGACTTATAAAAAGTTGGAGGTGGAATTTTAACCCACGTGTGTCTTGGCATTCTCTCTACCATACATACCCCTTTCCAAGGGGTGGCATCCATGGGAGGCCCCTTGCCTTAGGAGTAACAGGTATAGGTTGCTCTAGGAAAGCCACATTGATTCTGGAACAGTGATTGTGTCCAAGGCCTCCTCCAGGTCTAAACCCTGCGATTTCTCAGCCAATGTCCCTTCCTTACAGCTTCACTTATTCCTAGGTATATACCCCTGTACAGCAAGTTTGAAAGAAAGAAGAGTACTTTTGACAATCTACATTTTGGTTCCATAGGCACCACAAAGTGGAGTGGCACGTAAATGAGATCTCACTTGACTGACTCTAAGTAGAACATGCCTGTGCTGGTGACCAATAATCCTTATCACCAAAGGAAACTTCACATAAGCAAGCTCCCTCCTAAAATGGGAGACACAGTTTTCATTAGTCAAGTCACAGGTATGGTCAGTTCATGGACTAAAAGAGCCAGGACAGAAGAGTCAAAGGTTAGCTTGGCACTCTCGTGCTCCTGCAACTGGCAATCAATCAATTAATCAATCAATAAACATTTATTAAGTCCTAGAGACACAAAAAGAGGCAAAAGTCAATCTCTGCCCTCAAGAAGCTTATGATCTAAAGGCAGGCTAAAGTTTAACGATGTTAACCCTCCTAGGGAGGCACAATAGTCTGTGACTACCCCTGCAGTAAGTATCAGCCCTGGTACCCAAATTATCCCACAGGAAACCCTGCTGCCCCAAGGGTGCACTGAACTCGTCCCAGTGTTTAAATTATCTTTATCCTGTGGTTATGAGTAAAAATATGGAAGGAGGATGGCATTAGCCCTTATAATTTTACTGTGATTAAGGCTTAATAGCTCATGGAACCTAGAAATAATAATAATAATAGAATAAGAATAAGAATTGCTAATAATAGGCAATTTTTATGTAGCTCTTACTATGTGCAAGGCATTGTGCTAAGTGCTTTACAGTTATTCTCATCTGATCCTATTATTATTATTATTATTATTATTATTATTGTGCTATTATTATCCCCATTTTACAGATGAGAAAACTGAGGTAAAGAGAAGTCAAGTGACTTGCTCAGTGTCTGAGGTTAAATTTAAGCTTAGCTTACTTACCTGGCTTGACAGGTACTGAATCACCCTGACTTCTAATGGTTACTCAGAAGAGATTGAGACACTGACTTGATACCATCCTCAAGGAGAGAATGGCTAACCGAGAAAGAGCAGAACTTACATAGTCTTTGGAAGTTTCAAGTATGATGAATAGGGCCTCAAGTTATAATAAAACTGTTAAGGAACACAAGTTAAGGAGCTGATGTCGTCACAGTCAACCTTGTACAATGGATTCCAGTGTCCCTTCCACGCTGAGATTAGAAGAGGCAGTCAGTAGCTGCTTTACTCCATTGGGACAATAGAATCTTTCAGACTTTTCTTTGTCAATGCTATACCCTTCAAGTTCATGGGCTGCTTAGTCAGTAAACTGATATCTACCCAGACTTTGTCTCCCTTAATTTGGTCTGGGTATTCCATGTCAGAAAAGTTTCCCTATTTTCACTTGCCTTCACATATGGGAGTTTCGACCATTAGGACTGACAACTGTAACCCAACATCACTAATGAGTGGCACTGGGTCAAAGTAGATTGTTGACCCCTGGGCTCCGGTGACACATTTTATAAATAAAAGTTGGATGGAGGGGTGGAGGAAGCATACACTGAAAATGTCTTCTTGTCTAAGATAATATGGTTAATCAATTAAAAACACTTACTGAGTGCCTACTATGTGCCAGGCACTCTACTAAGCAAAGTTGTGTGACCACGGGTAAGCTACCTTAGTTTTCTCGTCTGTAAGGCAGAGACTATTTACTTACCTCCTAGGAAAGTACTTATTTAACTATCTTATAAAATGCTATATAAAGTTAGTTATTGTTTATTTCTGAAACATATCTTAAAATCATTTTAAGATTTTACTAGATCTGGAAGTCTATAAGCAATTGACAGTCTCTCATGCTCCTGAGCCTAGATCTATATGATTTCTTTGGTAGAGGGAAATCGATGAGAACACTCTCTCTGCCAATACAAAACGGTATTTTCTCTAAATTTATAGTTTCAACTCTCTAAGTTGTCTTGGGCACTGAGAGTACTTTTACAGACTTGCCCAAGATCACAGAGTCAATGTATGTAAGAGGTGGACTTGAACCAAGATGTTTTTGACTCTAAAGCCAGATCTTTATCCACCATACCATGATGCCTCTTATGGATAAGATATGTAAATGAAGGCTGAACGACAGTGGTTAAGTGGACACAAAACTGGTTAAATAAATGTATCCACAAGATTAACAATGGATGTCAACCTGAGGAAGCTTTCTGGGATTTTTCTATAGAGATGTCCTCACCCTGTCCTACTCAATATTTTAAATCAATGATTTGAAGATGTATGCCATGCTTATCAGCACGGGGGATGATACAAAAATAAGGGCCATCATTAACTGCTTTGATGACAAAATCAGGAGCCATAGAGATTTTAACAGTATGGAACAGAGGAGTAAAACTAACAAGTTGAAATTTAATGGAGCAAATGTGAAGTGTGACATACAGGGTTTGAAGAACCAATTGCCCAAATATGGAACTGGAGAGACCTGGATAAATAATAATGCATGTGATAAATATGTACAGGTTTTAGGTGGCTGAAAGCTCAAGAGTGGGGAGCTGCTGACAAAAGCTAAAAACAGGATAGGAACACTGAATCAGAAGGAGGGAGGTAACAATCCCACTGTACTCTTTATTAATCAGATCATGTTTGCTGATGATATTTAGGAGTTATGTTGACAACATAGAAGGTTCTGACAGGATTGGGATCGGTATTTCTTATGAGGACCTAAAAGGATTAGAGATGTTTAGCTTAAAGAGAAAATTGGGCAGGATAGATTCATAGCTATTTTTAGTTTTGTGGATGAGTGATTAGATTTATTCTGTATAGCTTGCAAGTGATGCAGTAGGATCAATGGGTGGGAATTAGATTTTGGTTCAATATAAAAAAATGTCTACCAATTATAGCTATACAAAAAACTAAATAGAATTGACTTCCTTGTGAGGTAGTGAGTTTCCATTATCTGGAAGTGTTCAAACAGTGGCTAGATAAAAATGCATTCAGGATGCTGTTGAGGAGATTCCTGCATGGTACAGGAGGATGGACTAGATGATCTCTAAGGCTCCCTCTAAGAAAATAGAGAGCATGAAAATATCGTATTAGAATCACTAAATATATATAGTACAAAGAGCAAAAGATATATTTGACTATATGATAATTTCAAAAAAAATTGTTTTTAGTTTACTGAGAAATAATTGTATAGAAATGTATAGATAAAATGAATGACGTATAATGAAGATGAATATTACTATTAGTAAGCATGGCTGTAAGATGACTAAAAATCATGACTTGGTAGTTTTTCTTCACAAAAAAATGTCAACTACAGAAACCGTATGAACATAATTAATAGCTAAAAAAAATCTTTCATTAGGACTTACCTCCAGGAATTCTTTGAAAAACTTTGCCTAGAGTGTCTCCTGTTATTATGTTATAGCTAATCATAGCTAGAAACAAAATAAAGATAATAAGTTAATATCAGACACAGTTATTAATCATATACTTAATCCTGAGCAGTTCCTTCCAAAAAAGCTCCTACTTATATATGTAATTTCAATGTTTTTTGTTTGGGGTTTATTTTTTATTTTTTTGTTTTCAATTTTGTGAAACCCTGATTTTCAGAATTTATATTTTCACAATTAGGTGGGGTATTAATTTGTTGCTTTTCTACTTTTTTTTAAAGTTGCATGCCCAGTTCATTGATTTGTTTTTCTCTCTTTTGTTTATAAAAGTATTTAGAATTTCCTTCCTAAAGACTATCTTAGCTACATCCCATAAGTTTTAGTATGTTGTATGTTGTCTCATTGTCATTTTCTCTGATGAAATTTTCCATCATTTCCAAGACTTATTCACTTACTCACCAATTCTTTAGCATTAAGTTAATCTATGATTAATTTTAGGTAATTTCTTCTCTGACCCTTTATTGAATATGTTTTGTTGCACTGTAGTCAATAAAGATTGTATTAAATATTTCTGCTTTTCTGTATTTGTGAGTTTTTTATGTCCCAACACATGGTAAATTTTTGTAAATATGCCATGCATGACTTAGAAATATATAAAATCATTTTTGCTCCCATTCATTGATTTTCAGAAATCTGTTATCGCTCCTTTTTCTAAAATTCTATTTATATTTTAAATAGTTTGAAGAATAGTCTGAAGCTACAGGCATTCTTTAATATGGGCATTCTCTGATTTATTCAACCAAAATATATGAATTCAACTGTATACCCAATATTCAAGATGACCCCAAATTTTAAAATCTCAAGTCAGAAGACAGACAAGTAGTTATTTACATTATGAAAATAAATGTTTACTTTACAAAGGAATTCATCCCAGGAACCTTTAAATAGTCAATCCTCCTAGCACACTTAAAATTATTGATCACCCTGTTAAAGAACACATGTACTGAGTTACAACAACAGCAAAAGGGGAAAGAAATTCTAAACCCTCACCTCACTTGCAAAAGCAAGGAAGACTTTTCTTAGAAATTTTATAATCCTTGGCTTTTCTGCTGAGATTTACAGCCATTGCACAACTTGTAAGATGGCTGATATGACATGTTAAAATCACCAATTAAATTTGTCATGAAAACAGTTAAGAAAATGCTATAAACTTGTTAGTGACTTTTTAATACATTCAGTCCACTCAGGCCAAGTATCTATGGTGAATTGATTTTGTATATTAACAATGAACAGATGACCATTTCATTATGATACTGCACATAGTAAGGAATATTTACTATAAGTTTCAAGTGAGTCAAAACACAGAAATAATTTTATAAATAGACTATTAGTCTTGGAAATGTTTTTCGTGAGTCATTAAGTTCACAGAAATGCTCTTCAGTTTCAAATAGTAAGTGCTTAATAAATGCTCATTGATTTGACTTGTTGGTCTAAGACCCAAGAAGACATGTATATGTTCCCATAATACTCTCATTTTACCCTGCACAGATTCTCATGAAAATGAAACAGAAGAGGGCCAACAAATTCAGCAGAATATTCCACTTCTTCTAGTTTTACTGTCTGAGTTCTTTTGAGCATGTTCTCTTTGGGATTACTTTCTGAAGTGGACCATGAAAAGGATAATGTCTGACATATTGACACAGGTGTAACACTAGCCTCTACATCCATACAGAAACAGGTCAAGTGGCACTGGCATTGATACTATGACCTGGACTGACTGAACAGACTCTCTCACCTGGAACCTGGCAAGTGAGGTCTGAAGAAGCAAGAATTGATTAACTTTTAAAAGTCAGGGCTTTAGAATTGGGCAGGAGGCAACATGGGCAAAGAGAAATAACATAATAGTAGTCTTAGGTTTCCTCTTAGAATTATTATTTTATAAAGTAACTAGATAAACAATGGCTACATTTATTCTTGCAATATACAGACTATCTAAAATCTTTAACATTGTTTCATTGCAAATGCGATTTATTTCAGAGGGAATTGTCACAGTCATGAAGATAATTGTCAATATTTAACTTTATAGTGGTCTTACCAATGAAAGGATATAAAAATTGTAGAGATGAGAGGAGTAGATACCCTGGAAAGCCAAATGTCTTATGGACCAAAGATTGATAGCTATCTGTTCCAGAAAGGGATCCTCCTTTTATCAATAAAACAAGGGAAAAGTCTGTTAAGAAAACAAATGAGCTATGCATGAGATTATATACTGAATGCAAAGATTTTTTTGTTTAAGTCTAAATCATGCTGGAGGAAAAAAATTGCTAAATTATGGGGCCATTTTAGAATGAGACAACAACAAAAAATCAGGTTAAATGGATCACTGGTGAGGACTTAACTTGATAAGCTATGGTATTCTTTTTAGGATGCCATGACTATATATTTGCTGCTGTTTTTCATCAACTTTTTCGATACTAGGGACAAATATGGTCAAAGGATTAGTGCACTGACCTGAACAGAAGGCAAGCCCAGGAAGTGAGTGTCAGGAATTCTATCTTTATTTCTTATACTGACTTTCCGCAATTTTGGAAAATTCTATCATCACTTTGTGACTCTATTTCCTCACTTTTACAATGCATATAAGCAAAATTACATAAAAACTAAGTTTTAAAAAAACCCCACGCAGCACATTGCTCCTATTTTTTCCCTCAAGGTAACAGACAAAATATGACTAGGAAAAAGTGTATAGTTGGCCTCCAAGAATAAAAAGAAACCCCAACAACTCTGTATTACAGTTATTAAGTAAATGCAAGGAAATATTTCCATAATATTGCATTTACAGCCTTTTGATCATATCTGAGGAGGTCAATCTTGGATGAAATATATAGAACGCAAATGTTTTAAAATGTGATTTCCCTAGTCACATCAGTTGTCCAAACTATTAAATGTGTTTTTGACTAAATGTTTAAAGGTATTTTTTAAGCTATGAAATTTACTGTGTCCTTAGTTCTAAAGGAAAACAAATATTGATGACATATACATGAACAGAATTCCTCCACTAACTGGCTGGTCATAACATGAAGGTGATCATGGGGTCTGAAAGGCCATGCCAATGGGGTATAAGGTGTGAAAGTCCCTGAGTTGAGAAGCTGGGTGTGACAAGGAAGCCTGGGACTATGGAAAGTTGGGGTGGATTTAGAGTCATAGAATCATTGAAGTCACTGGGTTACTTACTAGATGTATGATCTTGGATACTGTAAAAATGAAAATTTTGGATTAGATGATTTCTAAGATCCTTTCCATCTCTGAATTGATATCAGTGGACTACATGTCAGTTATGAGGGGACTAATGTACCTAAGTTTGGAGAATTAGATTTATCATCACCAGAAGCTTGGCTACCAGTGACATATCTATCCATATCTATATCCATATCCATATCTATATCTATATCTATATCTATATCTATATCTATATCTATATCTATATCTATATCTATATCTATATCTATATCTATATCTATATCTATATCTATATCTATATCTATATCTATATCTACATCTACATCTACATCTACATCTATATCTATATCTATATCTATATCTATATCCATATCCATATCCATATCTATATCTATATCTATATCATCTATCTCTATCTCTATCTCTATCTCTATCTCTATCTCTATCTCTATCTCTATCTCTATCTCTATCTCTATCTCTCTATATCTATATCTATATCTATATCTATATCTATATCTATATCTATATCTATATCTATATCTATATCTATATCTATATCTATATCTATATCTATATCTATATCTATATCTATATCATCCACAGGAATCCCTTGAAACTATGTACTAAAGTATGGTGAGTTCACAACTGATGTCCATAGAAGGAGGACCTTCAATGATAAAAAACACAGATCCTCTGAAGTGTTTAGGTATGAAAAGAAATAATATTCATTTAGAAGTTTTAATATGACCAAATTTCAATCCACATACAATTATGATTTCATTTTCACTGTGCCCATGAATGTTTGTAAGCAGATGCAGTATGTTACTTATTCAGGAAATGGTCACTTCAATCATCAAATATGCATTTAAGTTATAGACTATTTTTGATGTAATCAACAAACAAGAGACAATACTCAAATAATTTAAATGAATGATGGAAAAAAAAATCACTGTCCGTTTTTACCCTCAAATAAAGCTTATAACATCACATGAACAGAGGAACAGGGCAGAGACAAAACACTTGTCTGGCAGAACATACCTCATTAAAGGCTTAAAATAGACTTAACAAGTCTGGAAGCAAAACACCAGCCAAATTAGAATATGAAGTTAAAAGAGAAGAGATATACATTTATCCCTTACTTGCAGACTTTCTTTAAGAATCCTCATTTGAAAAGTAGCATTTCTTCACCGTACAGTAGCATTGTATAACAAAATAAAATACAGTGTAGAAAGCTAAGGGCTAGATAAGTGAAACACCATGAAGAACATTTGAGTGAAGATAAATGAAAAGAGAAACACCAATCATAGTGTGCTTTTACATTATGGATCCCCCAGCCAAAAGCAGAAATTAGATAATGAGTTCCAAAAGAAAGCCAAAATGCTGGCATAGAGACATAATATAGTAATGGTGAGGAACTTCAATTTTCCAGAGCATCTAGAAATTCCTTTTTGCCAAAAGCAGAACTGCTAAGAAATTTGTAAATTTATGACTTGCCTTAATGGTTAGTTCAACCTTAAGAAGGTAGAGAGAGCAACAAGGGAGTATTAGTGAAGTTTCCAAAGTAGCATTATTAGAACCTTGGAGGGAAGTAGCTAATCCATATCAGAGTTCATGATAGGATCATAGGATCATGGACTGAAAGCTGAATGGGATTTAAGGGGATTTTAATTGAACTTTCTCATTTTGCAGTTGAGGAAACTGAGGCCCAAGGAAGTGACTTTCCCAAGGTCACACAAGTTGCAGATGTAGGTGATAGGAAACATAAAGAAGAGAAGGCTGGGCATAGTCAGAGAAGGACCCAGGATTTTGAGAGAATAAGTTTCAAATAATTCATAAAGGAAAGGTAGAATCTTTTTTTTTCTTATTAATTTATTTATTTTTTAGTTTTTAACATTCACTTCCATAAGATTTCGAGCTCCAAATTTTCTCCTTATCTCGTCCCTTCCCCCACCCCAAGACAGCAGGCAATCTGAATACCCCTTCCTCTAATCTGCCCTCCCTTCTATCTTCCCCTCCTTCTCATCCCTTTTCCTTTCTATTTTCCTGTAGGGCAGGATATTTTATTTGCCAGTTGCATGTGAAAACAATTTTTAACATTTGTTTTTAAAACTTTGGGTTCCAAATTTTCTCCGTTCCTCCCTCCCCATACACCCCCATTGAGAAGTGAAGCAACTCTATACAAGTTATGCATGTGTAGTTATGCAAAACACTTCCATAGTAGTCACATTGTGGAAAACTAACTATATTTCCCTTCATCCTATCCCACACCCTCCCCCCATTTATTCTAGTCTCTGTTTTGACCCTGTTCTTCGTCAGAAGTGTTTGCTTCTGATTATCCCCTCCCCCAATGTGCCCTCTCCTTTATCATCCCCCTTCTCTCTTAGCCCCTTCCCCCCTCTATTTTCCTGTAGGGTAAGATAGATTTTCATACCCAATTGAGTATGTATGGAATTCCCTCCTTAAGCCAAATCCAATGAGAATAAGATTCGCTCATTTCCTCTCACCTTCCCCCACTTCCCATCCACTGTAAAAGCCTTTTCTTGTCTGTTTTGTGTGAGACAATGTACCCCATTCTACCTCTCCCTTTCTCCTTCTCTTGGTATACTCCTCTCTCACCCCTTAATTTTATTCTCCAGATATCACCCCTTCATCTTCAACTCACCTTGTGCCATCTATCAATCAATCAATCAATCAATCTATCTATCTATCTATCTATCTATCTATCTATCTATCTATCTATTTATCTATCTATCCATATAATGGAAAGGTAGAATCTCATGGCAGAAGTTGGAATCCTTCTAGTGTAGATGATGTTGGCTGGAAAGGGATGTTACGTTCTCAAATACAAACACAAATAATTCTAATGAGGAGGAAAGGGGGTCACCTTTTTTTAAAGAGATTGGTCTGGCTACTCGGGAATTCAATGACCACTTCTGGTTTTTAAAATACACATACAGAAACTGGAAACAAGGACAAGTAAGTATGTTTGACCACAAAGAGTAGCTTGATCCTTTAAGACTATTATAAATGCTAATTCCAGAACAACTTGAGACCTTGAGTGAATGCTAAGGTCAACCAAAGAATTTTTTAAGCTCTGTTAGGCACAAAAGAAAAATCAAAGAAAGGATAGTAGAAGCACTATTTGAGTTAGTGGAACAATGATAATATATGACGGAGAGAAGACAGAAGTCCTGAAAAGATTAAGATTGATCCTTTATTATTTTCTTATTAATCCTACTTACAATGAATTGTTTTTGTCCTATAACTGCTTAAGTCACGGCTCTGTCTCTGAATTTGGTTCAGAATTCAGCTGGTGTGTAATGGATTAAGTCTAGAAATCCAGCTATCCTGCTAATCACTGATCTTTTCTTGTGTCAAGGAATTTAGTTGACCTTGGGGGGTGCATGTATCTTTATACCATCAAGCCATGCTTCAAGGATGTCTGGTTTGCTGTCCAACAAGAGCTGATCTATTATCTTTTGACCTTGCACCTGGACTCCAATAATGAGCACTTCTTAGTGTCATGGAAGAAGGGAGGTCATGACTACCTCCCATTACCAAACTTCCAACTAATCATATTGTCTCCTGAGCCTCAGCTTTGTAACCAATCATGTTGTCCCCAATCCCATGATGTCATCTACCCTGTTCTATTCTTTGTTCTGTATTTACCAAAACTTATGAAAGAGGAACTTTCCTTTGGCCTGAGATCTTTGGCATAAAAGAAGGCAATTTATTTACCCCTTTATTGACAGGCAGCATGGCCCCTGTTAATAAATGTTATTTTGCTGAGAGAATAGCCTCAGTTTACCCTTTTGCTAAATTTTTTTCATGACAGTACTTAACTTCTATTTTTACTTCTGTTCTCTCTGCCAAGAAAGACGATTTTTTAGTTTATGAAATACAAACAAAAGTAGTCAACAGGGAATAGAAACCCAAGTTCAGTAAGGATATGTCAAGAGATTCTTAACAGCCTTCAATGATTTAAAGATAGCAGATTTGTACCAAATGAATGCTAGGTTATGGAAAGAATCTGTGGATACAACTGCTAAGCCACTTCCTGTCAATGTTATTTGGAAAGAGGTGGAGAATGGAAGAAGTGCTGCCAAAATGGAAACAAGTGAACACGGCTCCAATTATCTAAAAAGAGGAAGGTATTTCCTTCAAACTATGGATCAATGGGGCTTGAGGTTCCTGGAAAAAAAAATGGAATGTACAACTAAAGCAATAGTTTGGTATCATTTAGAAATAGAAGCAGTAACTAATATGTTGGCATTAGTTTATTAATGTCATGACAAACTAATCATAGATCCAAGTATATCTGGATTTCAGTCTGTAAGTAATTTAAGTCTGTCACGATATCCTTGTATGTACATGATGAAATGACATAAAATTGATTTAGAACTAATTAATGACCGGACACAAAGAATGACTATCACTGGATTAATGTGAACCGGGAAGGGATTTTGCCAACAGGGGTGGGGAACCTGTGGCCTCGAGGCCACATGTGGCCCTCTAGGACCTTGAGTGAAGTCCTTTGACTGAATCCAAACTTTATGGAATGACGCTTGACCTAGAGGGCCACATGTGGCCTTGAGGCCACAGGTTCCCCACTCTTGTCCTAATGCATGCCAAAGGAATCTATCCTTGGTTGTAGTCTCTTTAACATTCATATCAGTCCCTTGGATGGAAACATAGATGGTATGGGGAAATATGAAGCTGAGAGGTGTGACTAGTATAATATATAACAGGATTGAGATATAAGAATACTTCAGTGGATGGTTTTATGGGTTGAATCCATTAGCTGACAATGCCAAAAGTAAAGTCTTAGATTTGAGGGGTTTTAAAAAATCAACTACACAAATCCAGTAGGTGAGAGATGTAGCTAGAGTCAGCTAGGTGATGCAATAGATATAGTACTAGGCCTAGAGCTAGAAAGACCTGAGTTCAAATCCAGTCTATGTGACCCTGAGTAAGTCACTTAATATCTGTCTGGCTCAATTTCCTCATCTGCAAAATGGGAATGATAGTAGCACCTACTTCCCAGGGTTGTTGTGAGAAGAAAAGGCTTTACTACTTATAAAATGCAGGACAAACTTTAAAATACTTTATAAATGGTAGCTATTAAAGAGTTCTTAGTGGGAAGCATATTAAATATGTCAATCTTGTGACCAAACATTAAAAAAATCAGTGACATTGGGATATATTTACAGAATGTATTGTCCAGAAAAAGTAAGTTGACAGGCCTCCTGTATTTCACTCTATTCGGACTTTATCTAATGTATTATGGCTAGTCATGTGCACCATATTTTAAGCAGGAATTGTTAAGTTGGAGCATATCCTAAAGGTAAGTTACTAAGATGTTTGGGGACTGGAAACCATGATATATAAGGATCAATTGAAAGAATTCAAGGGGCAGCTAGGTGGCTCAGTGGATAGAGCACTGGCCTTGGATTCAGAAGGACCTGAGTTCAAATCCGGCCTCAGATACATAACACTTACTAGCTGTGTGACACTGGGCAAGTCACTTAACCCCCACTGCCCAACCATAAAAAGGAAAGAAGAAAGAAAGAAAGAAAGAAAGAAAGAAAGAAAGAAAGAAAGAAAGAAAGAAAGAAAGAAAGAAAGAAAGAAAGAAAGAAAGAAAGAAAGAAGAAAGAAGAAAGAAAGAAGGAATTCAGAATGCTTAGACTAAGGAAATTTAGGAAATGATGAAGTATACTTAAAAAGCTGCCATGGGGAAGAGGGCTAGACTTGTTTTGCTTGGTCACAAAGGGCAGAAATAAGAGCACAATGGGTAGATGTAGAGAGCTGTTCAAATATGGAATAAGTTGCCTCAGGAGGTAAATATTTCCTCATCCCCAATCTCAGTCTGAATGGATACTTACTGAGGCTGTTGTTGGTGGGGGGGGGGATTAGGATTAGGATTAGAGCTATGGTTTGGATTTGATGACCTCTGAGTCATCAAAGTCTGACTGGTGACCTTCCTACTCTGTAATTCTGTTATTCTATGGAATGCAAGATGACCCAAAATCCTGTTTCCTTTTATTTTTGTATTTATCTTTTTCCTTTACCCCTCAAATATTTTCTAAGGGTTTGTATTGTACCCTTAGAACATAATCTTATTATGATTATTTGGATCTGTTAATTCAGTAGCATAGTAAACCCTCATACTGAAACGTCCTCCAGCTCCACAAATGCAGATTAGGAATTCACCTATATGTTATAGTATTAGAACATTGATTATGGGGATTGAGGAGTTCAGTAGCTTGCACACAGTCACATAACCAGCATGTGCCAGACACTATACCTGGATCTAGGCTAGGATTTTCTGTCTCCAAGGTTGTCCTTCTATCTATTATGTCTTGCTGCTCCTCTCCTTTATCTTATATTGAAAAAAAAAATTGGCCAGAGTGCACAACAATAATAATTGATATTTGTATAGCACTTAAAATTTATAGAACATTCCCCTAACAAGAAACTGAGAGGGAGGTAGTAGAAGGATCATTATTCTCCTTTTACAGATGAGGAATCCTTAGGCTCAAAAAGCCTAAGGGACTCTTCTAAGATGAGTATATAGTAAATAGAAAGAGTGGTAATGGACTTGGAGTCAGACTGCGTGTGTCTTCTGTCCCTTGATAGCTATGTGGCTTTGAGCAGGTCAAGGGAGTTGTACTAGATGTATATAATTACTCCCAGTTCTAAAGTTTCATGATTCTGTAACTACACAGTAAGTGGCAGAGGTGAGAATTAAACCCCAGGCCTTGTGACTCTAAGTGCCTCTCAGGATGTAAAATCAGAAAATGCTTTAAGACCCATTTTTCTTTTCCTTAATTATCACTGTAAAAATACATTCAGCATCTCAGTGGAGTTGCCAATAGTTTGAGCTAAGCCTTTGTGATACTGTTTTAATTCATTTTAAGAGGTAATTTTGAGGCCTCTAAAAAGTGAATGAACAGAACTGAATTTATGAACAATCTGAACTTTGCTAGGTTTCTGTGTGTTTGCTCGTGCTGCACATAATGTTTCAATGTCCTCAGATAAACCATAAGTAAACATACCTGGGAAGAAATTAATTACTTGACAGCACAAATGTACTGGGAAGCCGGAAATTAAAAATTACTAGAGGAAACCCCTTAGGAAATTGTATGGGAAAGACTAAATACATTCAGCATTTCAGTTAAGCTTTTAAGACTAAAGCCAAGAAACACCAAGTTCCAGATCCCACGCAAATGAAATTGGGCTACAAAGCAAGAGTTGCAAAAGAATGATGAACTGGGAGGATCTTAGGAGGGGGGCTTGCTGGATTTTGGGAAGTTTCTTTCTCCCCCTAATTCTACCCTCCATTTAATCTTCACCACGGGCTTCATTTGCTACCCCCCCCTCCCCGCAATAGGAAGAGAACTAGGTCAAAGCATACACATTTGAAGATAGCACTGGAAGTTGTGGTAAGAAGAAGAAATAAGGGTGAATGTTATAAAGTTTAAATTTCAAAATATCTGAGGAACTCTTTCTAGCAATTGGAAAAAAGGATAATAGATGAAGGTGACTTAAGGAAAAAGGAGAGAGGAAATAGAAATTGTCAGGGAGTTCTGAACTGCTGAACTTCAGGACAGGTTCATGGACAACATGCACATTGTGAGGGGAAAAAACTAAACTACTAATTAAGCATCTGCATTTTCAGGGACTCCTGCACAGATAGTGGTCAGGACCATTAATTCTGAATGCATTATACCCTGTTAATGATTTTGTGAAGAAGATACACTTCCAGTGTCTATCCTTCATGCTTTAACCAAACCTTAAAAAACAGGCCCAGCACTTTCCCCACATAATATGGTCAATATAATGCTCTGCCTTTAATAATCAGATCTTTGGATTAGTAATACAAGTAAATGTCCTTAAACATTGCTGACATAATTTTATGAATGTACTGATAATCCCCCAATTCCAAATGCAGATATTCTCTGAACTATTCAAGTAGCAATGATGACTATGCAAGATTAATCAGTTATAGAGTACCCTACCTGTCACATAAGAGACCCACAATAAAAGCAGTATCCCTAAAGGAAGACCAGCTTGCTGCATTGAGTACGGTAACCCTGGGGAAAAAGAAAACAAATACCCCCACTGATTAAACATGCAGTAGCCCTTTCATATTCTGGTTATTTATGCTAATTTTATATTGTAGGTTTCAATGGTATCACTGTAGTTCCATACACTTTTTAGTCATTTGTCATCTGACTAAATGCTAATTTACATAGTAAGTCTGGAAGTACAACAAAGTTCTATAGATACTGAAAAATGAACAATTCGGTCTTACCAAGGAAGCATCAAATAAAAAGGAGAGGCTGACTATTGATAAATAATTGTTACTTTGACTAGAGGTGAAATGGGAACCTAAACAAATAAAGAAATAAGTTAATATGTAAGAGCACAAAAAAATTTTACAGTTAGTCTGATGAGCACTGGATTTTGGAGTCAGAGGACTTGAGGTGAAATCTCAGCTCTGCCATTTACTACCTGTGTGAATCTGCAAGTCCCTTAAGCCTCCGAGGCTCAATTTTCTCATCTGTAAAATGAGCAAGTTGGACCTGATAACCTTTAAGGTCTCTTCCAGCTCCCAGTCTATGCTCTTATCTCTAGGATCCAATGATACCAGTGAACTTTCGATTTTCAGAAGTAAATGAAGATGATTAAAAAGCATAAGAAAAAAGCAAAATTGCAGTTATAGCTCAGAAAATGACTGACTGGACAGTTTTTGATCTAATAAAAGTTGTATTGAGCCAGTGCTTTTTCTTTTCTGAACTTTTCTGATATGCATGCTTTCTAACACTATGAAAGACATTAACTTTGGAAAACACAATGATCTTTACTTTACTATAAGGATAAAAATCTATTTAGTTCATGCAAAGCTTTTGTCTCCATATCACTTGTTGAGAAAAAACAAAGAAATACCAAGTTCTTTAAACTTAGGCAGATTGTAGCTTCATTTTATAATAAAACTTAAAACAGTAAAAATAGATTCTTTTTTGGGGGGGCATAAGTGATCTGCATAAACTTATGTTTCTAAAGTATCTTGGTGATTTTATATCTGTAAAAGTGCTAAAATATTGCATTTTTCCATTTCTCCTAAAATGTTTACTTTTAAAGTGACTATTTCCTTCATGACTTTCATAATTTATGGAGATTTTTCAACTCCATAATTGTTCTTGGAAAGATAACAAAAATCGTGGCTGTTAAATGCTGACTGGGAAAAAGCATAGCTTGAGCCCGTAGCTTACTGTTCAGAACCCTACAAAAACAGGGTTAGGACCTAACAGTCCTATGAGTTATCATCTTATTCTATCCCAGGAGAGAACACTAACCACTAGTGGTAAGACAGCAACAGGGAATTTATCCTACTTTCATATATATGAAAAACATTCAAGAAAGAAAATGACTAATTTCATCATTTAACTGAAATCATCATATTTGAATGATAGATTCAAAATGATATTCTCTTTTAAAGAATGACTATATTTGCTTAAGGCTAGATTAGAATTTAAAATACACTTACCTATTATTCCTGATCCTATGATTGAGTTGACAACATTAAAAATAGCAGAGAACTGACGACAATGTCCCTTTTCTTTTTGTTTATGTTCAGAAACCAGAGATTCTTTGTCATCAGGATCTCTCTAGTCCAATAAGACAATATTGGTGTTAAATAAAAACCCAAGAGGGAAAAAAAGAAAGGTGTCAGACAAGATTATCAGTGATGAATACAGACAATAAGACAAGTGTGAGGATGGTAATAGTAATAACAACTATAGCTGAAGGATACTTTGTAAATATTAATTCCCACATCCATTCCTGAAATTGACTATTTACACAGTGTCCCACAAAAACAGGACTGGCACAAGACTGGCACCTGGTTAAACAGCCCTAATTCAAATGGACTGAAGCAATACATGTGGCTTTGTTAAGTGACAAGAGACATTTTTCTGATGTTAGAAAGCCTTTGTCAGAAGGAAGACAAGCATAAGAAAAAACTTTTTTGGGGAAGTGGAGTGAGTTCCTTGGAAGAGTTCTAAGTGGAGAGAACCCAGAGGAAGTTCTGGACCTCTGCCGGTGGATTAAACATTCCATGACCACTGGCTTCACTGCCCGGCCCATCAGTGTCTCCCACACTTGGTCCCGGGTTACCTTCAGATTGCTGCAAGGCCGCTGTCCCTGGTAGCCCATTGGTTCAGAGGTGACCAGGTTCATGCTGGAGAGGGAAGCACATAGGTCAAATGCTTGGAGCCCTGCGTCTGTCTGCCTCTGCCCCAGCGCCTGCAGCCGCCTCCTCCTGCAGCCACTCCCCCATCCCACGCAGCAGCTTCCTAAACTATAGGGTACCCCAGCGCGAAAACCCTGAGGAGACTGTTCCATTCACCTCACTGGGGCCCCCTGGCAAGGCCCGCGCTCCGAGCCAGGCTGCTGAGGGTGAGCAGTTTCTCTTTGACCAGCTGGAGTTCAGCAGTCCCAGGCGAGAGTTTCTTAGTTGAATGCCGGGTTCCTCCTTTTGGAGATGGTACAGGGTGTTTCTATCTCCAGGACAACCCCTATTTCCTCAATAAGAGAGGATTATGCTTGCCCCCAGGCTTTCAGTGGCAAGGAACATCTGGTTCTGCTCTCTCCCCGCCCTCTGACTTCTACAAGTAGAAAGTGACGGCCTAGTAAAAGTCAGCTCCTGTTCTGGTTCCCTTTCTCCTGATTACCGGGTAGGAAAGCAGAGGGGCTGCGGTTAGCTTCACTTTATTTCTCCTGCTTTGCCATTTGTGCCCATCATCCTTCCAACCCAAACACCTTTGCCCTTTCCCTTTCTGCCTCCAGGAGGAGCGTTGAGAGACACAGTTTGTAATTTGTAGTTGGAAAATTGGGGATTATAGATGAGAAGATTAAAAAGCTTCCCGCAAATATGAAAACAATAGTTCATATGAATCTGGCCCTGTAAAGTTTGCAGAGCATTTTCTTCACAACAGCCTTGGAGGGAAGTAATGGAAAGTATAATCTGCATTTTACAGAGAAAGAAATTGAGGGACCGATCTCAGGTCATATTAGGTAGTATCAGAGTGGGGATCTGTACCCAAATCTCTGATCTAGTTGCTTCCCAAATAGCATTTAGTATAGTAGAAAGAGTACTGGATTTGGAGTTAAAATACCTGAGTTTGAATCTAATATATCTGTTCACTACCTGTATGACTTTGGGCACTTAAAATCAGACAAGAAAACCTTGGTTCAAATCCTGTCTTAAACACTAGCTTTGTGACTCTAATTAAGTCACTTAATCTCTTTAACATTCAGGTTTTTCACTGGTCAATTGGGGATAATAATGGCACCTACTTGGGAGATTTGCCATAAGGCTCAAATTAGATAATGTAAGACCTGAAAGCTTTATATAAAAATGAGTAATTAAACTCTCAGGGCCTCAGTTTCTTCATCTGTAAAATAGGAGGAGAATAACAATAGTGCCTAATTGAAAAGTTGATTATGAGGATCAAATTAGATAATGTATGTAAGCCACATTATAAACTTTAAAGCATTATAAAACAAGCTATTAAACTTTCTAGGTCTCCTCACTTTTAGAATTAGGGGTTTGGTTTTGTGTTGTTCAATCATATCTGCCTTATTGTGACCCTATGTGGGGTTTTCTTGGCAAAGATACTGGAGTGGTTTGCCATTTCCTTCTCCAGGTCATTTTACAGATGAGGAAACTGAGGCAAACAGTGCTAAGTGACTTGCCCAGGGACACACAGCTTGTAAGTGTCTGAGACTAGATATGAACTTATGAAGATGAGTCTTCTTTGACTTCGTGGCCCAGCACTCTATCCACTGAATGGGTCACCTAGATGCCTCATAGGGAGGTCTAGCTATTAACTAAGGCCCCGGACTAGCTCTAAGTTTTGATCTGCTCACCTGTCCCGACTGCTGAGTATGCCAAAATGAACTGCTAGTTAGTATCATTCAGGCATTTCAAGCTGGGATTAAAAGAGGGAGTAGAAAGATAGTTTTAGAACTGGGGCCACGGGGGCAGCTAGGAGGCACAGTAGATAGAGCGTTGGCCCTGAAGTCAGGAGGACCTGAGTTCAAATCTGGCCTCAGACTAAACACCTGACACTTAACTAGCTGTGTGACCTTGGGCAAATCACTTAACCCCAATTGCCTAAAAAAAAATAGGCAAATAGGGTCAGCCTTGGTGATAGACCTGAATATAGGGAGGGTTTATTAGAACAGTAGGGGAGAGTGTAAGGTATAATGAAATAAATACTGTTATCAATGCTGATTGGACTTTACCAATGTTATCAAATAGGCTAGTTAAGCCTTTGACTGTACCAAATTTACAGAAAGCTTGAGATCTAAGATGATGTACCAAGTCAAATGCACAAGTACAGTTGGCATAAGTCTTGGTCCTGAAGAGAGACCATGTGGTATGGGATTTGTAGGGAAATATAGAAATATAAAGGAAGCAAAACTATTTATTCTTTACCTTAATCTCCTGGAGGTTTTATATATTTAATATTGTCCATATGTAATATTGTCTTCTGTGACATGTTCATACAAGTAGGTGACCTCTGGGACTCCATCCACACTGGGAGAATGAACATTCCCTCAATATGAGTTACCTTGATTATTCTAGAATTCAAGCTGTTCATGACAAAGAAGAGCCAAAGAAGACATGATTTTGTTGAAGAAAAAAAACCCACGAGCAGGAAGGTATATAGAGATGAAATACAATCCACATCCTCATATGGTTAATACGTTCCAATTTTTCACAAATGTTAACATGAGAAAATTCTCCTTTTTGGTTAACCTTAGTCCTTCCTCCTGTCACTTAGTAACTTGGACCTAATTTCAGCAGATTCTGGAAAGAATCACATCACTTCAAGCTTCTAATGGGTGGGGTTAATGTCCTGTTAGGTAAAAGTGAGCATCTGTCCTCCATTTCTAAAGAAAACCTTTTTTTCCCTATATTACCTCCAAGCCCTAAATCTAACAGAACATTAACCCTACCCATTTTACAGATTAACAAATGAAGAGAATTTAAGTGACTTGCCCCAAATCACACAGCTAGAAAGTGTCAGACCTGGAACTAGGTCCTCTGATTCAAAGACAAATGCTGTTTAACTCCTGAAATGACAGATAGCACAATGACAAAACCTGCAATCCCAATGCTCCTTCTTTTATGGGGCCCATTTTAAAAATGTCATCATTTTTGGTGTCTTTTTTCCAGTCTCTTTACTCCTTTCTAAGTTTGGTGTCTCTTTTCTGTGCTCCCTTTTAATTGAGTCATGTACAACAGAAAGTAATTGCATATATGATGCACGGAATAGTTGAACTTAGAGGTGGCACAGTGCATGGCACATAATAGGTGTTTAATAAATGATGGTTTAAAAAAAGTAAAGGTAATCGAAATAGTAATGAGCTAATAGAAGAGTCTTGAAGTTGACTGACTAAGTGGAACGTAGATGGTGATTGGGCAGAAGGTCTTGAGAAAGGGATTATGATTTTAATCTGTCTCATAAGTAGTTGATTAGAAATAGTTAATAAAATACTAATAGTTAGATGAAGCAAAGGACTTCAAATACGTAAAAGCTTCCTACTCATCTTGCCAGAGGCCTGTCCACTGATGGCCAGAAGTAAGAACAGAAGAGAGAAGGATGACAGTATAGACTTCCAGTCTTATCCCAGGCCAGAAGGCTTATTGATTCAGACTGGGGAAGTAGTATGTGGGGTTCCAGAAGTCTTACTGCTTCTGTCTTCTCTATCTGCATCAACAGCATTCATTAACATTAATTAAGTCCCCATTATGTCTAGAGCCATATTATGCACAGGATACTATTATGTATCCAATATATACAGAAAAAGACAGATACTATGCACCATCGAGTAAGTGCCAAATGAGCGTCATGTACAATCATTGCTACAGGAATTTGGAAGACGGCTTAGCTATAAAGGGGGTGAGATGATAATAATAATGATAATAATAATAATTGGTGACATTTATATAATTATTTACTGGGAAATACTTAAGCTGGCACTTGAAGTCTAGGAATCAGGAAATCTGAGTTGTAGGTCTGAATCTACCACCACTAAATTGTGTGATCTTGGGTTTAATTTCACTTCTTTGAGGTTCCATTTCCTCACCTGGAAAATGACAATATTCGATTGGGTGGCTTCTAAGGTTTTCCAGCTATAAAACGCTAGTCACTTCTAGGGTAAAATACGAAAAAAGCCCCTTAAAGTCTGCAAAGCACTTTACATACTGTTCCCAAACCTCCCCAATTGGCCTTTCTGAGATCCATAACACTCACTTGAGGTAGGCTGCCTCTGCTCTAGAATCTTCTATATTTAGAAACTTCCATGCCCGATTCCTCAGCCAAGAATCCTCTGGCCAATGCCCGCCTCTCCCTGTGTGTGACGTCAGAGACTGCAAACCAATCAGAGGCATCAAATCTAAGTAAGCCCCGTCCACCTCCCCACAAGATTCTCAATTGCATTCTCAAGTTATACGTGCACGGAAGAGACAAATGACTGAAACACTCTCTGTATTGACTAAGAAGAATGGTGAATTCTTGGTGGAAACTGGGCATACCAAGTTCAGCTTCTCACAGGCCAATTATATGCCCCACTCCACCTCTTTCTTCATAGGATCATACATCATAGGATCTTAGAAGTAGGGCTGGACAGAGGTCAAATGTGTCAACCACCTGATTTTACACAGGATGAAATTAAAGCCCATCGAATAAAAGTTACTTGCCCAAGGTCACAGAGGTAATAAGTGGCAGAATCAGAGCTTGAATCCAGGATTGTCCTCTCACTCTAGATCCAGAATTCTTTCTCTTGTAAAGTACTTTTTTTTTTCTTTTTGGTGAGGTAGTTGGGGTTAAGTGACTTGCCCAGGGTCACACAGCTGGCAAGTTTCAAGTGTCTGAAGTCTAATTTGAATGCAGGTCCTCCTGACTCCAAGGCAGTAGCTCTATCTACTGTGCCACCTAGCTGCCCCTATTGTAACATATCTTAACTCCTTAACTCCTGCTTATCTTAACTCCTGCTTTGACTTGAATCAGTCAACAAGTATTAAGCATCTACCATGTGCCAGGCACTAGGAATACAAATGAAATGAATTAGACAATCCTTACTTGCAAGGAAATGCACTGAAGATCATCTACCTGAATCCCAGTAAATCCATCCCTTCCCTACCTCTACCATAATCCTAGACCAGTGATATTCTTTATCTCTGTTCCTTCATACCCCTGCCCTTCAATGTCTGTAAGGCCTTATGGTTTCTTTTGTGCAAATTAAAATGTGCTTAATAAAGGACTAATGCTTTAAGCATTTAATGGATTGTCTGACTCTTTTGTAATCCTCCCCAAGTTTGAGTCTAGGGTCTGTCACCTGCTAGTGATATGACCATGGGCAGGTCACTTCCCTCCCCTGTAAGATGAGGATAATAATATCTGTCATTCTTACTTCTGTAGTTTTGTGAAGATAAAATAGGATACTTGTAAAAAACATAAAGTATGATTGTTATATTAAAGAAGCTTTTGGGAGCTGGAGATAGGTTCTAGTTAAAATTACTATGATGAACCAACAAATGATGGTAGCCTTTAGCTCATCTCCCCAAGTGAAAAAAGAAAGAATGGGGGGTGGAGCCAAGATGGCAGAGTAAAAGCAGCAACTTGCTTGAGCTCTCCCCCAAACTCCTCCAAATACCTGTAAAAAACGACCCTAAATAAATTCTAGAGCAGCATAGTTTCAAGACGTACATGATCTCTTTTGCTTCTAAGTTTTTAATAGTATGATCTTTAATATTAAAGTTACATATCCATTTAGAATGCATTGTGTTGTTCTAAGCCTAATTTCTGCCAGATTGCTTTCCAGTTCTGCCAGAAGTTTATCAAATGAGTTTTTTCCTAGGTAATACATATTTCTATTTTATCAAATGCTAGATTTTTGAGTTCTCTTGTTTCTAATTCTCTCTTTTCTCATCTGTTCCATTGATCTAGCTCTCTATTTTTTAACTAACATAAAAAATTTTTGATCACTGCTACTTTGTGGTATAGATTGAGGTCTGTAAGTACTATTCCCCTTCATCCTTTCTTCATCATTTCCTTTGATATTCTAGATCTTTTGTATTTCCAAATGAATTTTGTTATAATTTTCTCAAGTTCTATAAAGTATTATCTTAGTAATTTAATTGACATTAAATTAGTAAATTAATTGGCATCATTGAAAGTATATATTAATTTTGGTAGTATTGTCATTTTTATCATATTGGCATGGCTTAGCCATGAGCATTGAATATTCCCTCAACTACTTAAGTTATCCTTTATTTCTTTAATGACAATAGTTACAATTAACTTTGTAATTGAATCTATATGTCTTTTGTATGCTTTGGTAAGTTGATCTCTAGATATTTTATGCATTCTGTAGTTATTTGGAATGAGATTTCCCTTTCTATTATTGCTTCTTCCTTTTTGCCATTTGTAGAAATGCTATTGATTTTTGAGGATTTATTTTATAGCCTGTAACTTTGCCCAAGCTTTTGATTGTTTTAATTAGTTTCTTTGAGGATTCCCAAGGATTTTCCAAATAAACCATCAAATCATCAGCAAATGGAGATAATTCTATTTATTCTTTGCCTATTTTTATGCTTTTAATTTCCTTGTTTTATTGCTATCATTAGCATTTCCAGAATTATATCAAATAATAATGGTAGAGTAGGTATCTTTGCTTCACATTCATGTTTACTGGGAAAATGTCCAACATATTCCCATTGTATATGATGCTTTCTTTTGGTTTTAGATGCTTTTAATGATATTTTTAAAAGGTCCCTCTATGTCTATACTTGTAGGGTATCCAAAAAAATGTTAATGCATATTTGTAAGAATATGATGCTTCAGCAGTGTCCCAGACATCATGGCATGTTGTTTTTATCATTATCATTTAATTTTACATGGTTATTAATTGTTTCTATGATTTGTTCTTTGATCCACTCATTATTTAGGATTTCATTGTTAAGTCTCCATTGGGATCTGTGTCCTTTGTTTGTGGTCCCTGAGCCAATTACTATTTTAACTGTGTTTTGGTCTATAACAGATGTATTAATTATTTCTGTCTTTTTACCTTCGTTTGCATTATCTCTGTGCCTTAGAATAGAGTAGGTTTTTGTAAAAGTTCTATGTGGTGCTGAGAAATATGTATATTCTTTTGATGTCATAATAAGAATGTTTCTTTATTATTGAATATCCATCTTTTTCATTTATTTTTGTCTTAAGCTCTAGTTTTTCCAGCAATTTGTTCAGTTCCATATTTTCCCTTTTGTTTATCTTTCTGTTAGACTTACGCAAAACCAAGAAATCTTCTTGTAGCTCAGTTAATATTTCCTTTATGAATTTGTATGCTAAGGTATTTGGAGCAAATAAGTTTATTACTGATATTGGTTTGTTATTTATGGTTCTTTTCAGCACAATATAGTTTTCTTTTTTATGCCTTTTAATTTTTGTGTGTTTGTTTTTATTTTGTCAAATAGCATCTTTTCAACTCTTGCTTTTTTTGGATTCACTCAATGAATAGTAAATTTGTTTTCCATCCCCTAATTTTCTTTTTGTATATTTCTTTGCTTTTAAATGTGTTTCTTATAAGCAACAGATTGTAGGATTTTATTTTCTTATCCAATCAGTCACTCTTTTTCATTTTATTGGATCATTTACTCCATTCTCATTCAAAGTTATGAGAGTTAGATTTATGCTTTCCTCTGTCTGTCTCTAATAGTCTTCCACCTCAAATTATTTTTCCCTATTCTTTTGTAAACACACTACTATGTTACTTCTGTTACTTTATCTTAATCTTTTTTAAGGTGGCCCTGTTCCCACTGGCTTTCTTCTCAACCCTGATCCTTTCCTCTAATGTATTACCACTTTACCTTTGAGATTTTGCTTATTAGTTCCTTTTTGTCTTTTGCTTTTATCTGGTCATATAATTCCTCCCCCTCTCTTTTTTCCTCTTAGTTGAACTAGTCCTGATCATTAGAATTAAAAATATTTTTTTTGCTCCTTTCCAGAAATGGTTTCTCTTATTCTCTTCATTATTCATCCTCTCTTACTCTTTACTCTAGAACATCATTTTCTGGTTCATGACCTCTTTAATTATCTAGTCTCTCTCTCTCTATCTCTATATTCTTCATGGAATCAAAACTTCCAAGATATCCATTCTGATCTCTCTCTTCTAGGTAGTTTCTGCCACCGTCTTATAAAGCTTGTCCCATGGATTTCCCTTTTTCGTTGTGTCTCACTCCTAGAACAATGCCAATTTCTACAGATGACAAAGAGGAAACTGCTCCATGGTAGGACTCCATCCTCTATCATATAGCTCATTAAGAAGTCCACCATTGAGCTATACCTTATCCTTCATTACCTTCTTTTCCTCATTTTATTCAAAATCTTCCTAAGTCCATGCCCTCCCACTATCCTAGGTGCCTATTGCTCCTAGGAGTCCCAACTCTTCCCTCCTCCTGAGGTAGGATGAGTGGTCTTGTCAAGCAACAGATCCCTCAAACCATACTCAGAACAGGGTCTCTATTTCCTTTCACAGAACATCCCTCTTCACTTCTCATAGTGAAGGCAAAGCTTCCTTTCCTCTACCCCACACACTTTTGAATACTTTCTTACTTCTCCTCAGTCTCCTGCAGGTTCATTGCTTCCTATTACCATATGACCTATGACCATGACTTTCTCTTCATTGTTAGCCCTCAATTTGACCAGGGCACATTGCACATCATACACTCTCCTCTACCCTCCCTTTTCCCATCTCCCCTTTCACGTACTCTTCCATTTTGTAATGTAGCCCTACAAAAAAAAAAACCTTTTTGATTTGTTTATAAGTTCTATTCATAATGCTCCAGGCCCACCTCTTCACTGTTACCTCCACCCGACTTCCACCTTTACCAATGTCTCCTTGTGTAAAGTTAGAAAGGAGTCTCATATGTCATTTTGTTGCTGTTGCTGTCAATTCATTCATCTCATCCACTCCTGTCTGGGGTGTTTGAAAAGCAAATAATCTCTTCAGGCTTAGTATCCTTTCTAACAATGTTTCAAATGTTTCTTCATTATTGAATATCTTTTTCATTTTTTAAGCTCAGATTTTCAAGGTAGGTCATCCTGGGCTGCATTCTGAGCTCTGCTGCTCCTTAAAACACATTATTTTATTCCCTCCTGAATTTTCTGCTGCATGTAGAATAGTCTTGTATTATTTGAATTGCCTTCCTTTGTATTTGATAGCTTGCAGAACTTGTTTCTCAACTGAATTGTTAAATTTAAACACTATGTGTTTTGAAGTTTTCAGCCTTGGATTTTTT